CTTCCTTGACACCTGCCCCCCTCCACCAGCCCTTCTCTCCCCCCCTGTGCCCACTCCTCCAGTAGCCCCACTCTGGTCATGTGAGCTACCCCTCCTCATTCCCTCTCCTAACACCTCCCTCTACACACCTGCCCTGCCTCTCTCCTCTGGTGCTGGTCTCTCCTCTGCAGGTGTCTGCCCTTCTGCTTCACCCCCGGAATCCGCTGGCACCTGCACCTTCCCTTACCCCTACACCCTCCTGTTTCCTCCCCCTTCCCTCACTGCCCCTGCCCCTTTGCCTTCTTTTTCCCTGATGCCCACCCCCTCACCAACCTCTGCCCCCATTCCCCTCATGCCCCTCTGTGCCCTCACATGTGCCTTGCTCCATCCCCGCCTTCCTCATGCCCACCCCTTCTTTCAAGCCTTCTCCCAGCCCCTCTCTTTCTGTCCCCTAGCCCCCAAAGCCCTTCCCCTCTCCTCTCCTAGCATCAACCTGTCCCCCCCTCACTGACACCTCTCCTCCTGCCTTTTTCCTCATTGTCTCCACTTGGCATTTGTCTCTCTCCTGCACCCTGTCCTTTGGTGCCTTCCCTTTTCATCTCCTGACTGGCCCCCCTCTTCTCAGCACAAGCCCCTTCCTCTCTGATCCTTACCTCCTATTTTTCCCTCCTCTTCTAGCAGCCACTAGCTGGTCTGTAACAGAGTTCTAGGGTCTCCCTGACTGTCACCCTTCTGGTGCTCCCCCTACTCTGTCTCTCTTAGGTTTCTCAGCCCCCTTTTGGGACACAAACCCCCACCCCGCAGTCTCTGGTTCCCAAAGTTCCGGCAGTCTCCCCATCACTTGGTGCCTGCACTGGGTCCGACTCGTAGACCTTCCCCCCCCAAAAAAAAACAGTCACACTTGATCTTGGGCAGGGGGGAGGAAGAGGGACTGGCTGGGGGGGCTGGGCCCGATCCTGCCCCCCCCCCGAGGCCAGTCGCGCTTCCCCCAGTCCCAACTCCGGCCAAGGCCAGTCGCGCTGCCCCTGACCCCGCCTCCAAGGCCAACCACGCTGTACCCAATCCCCTGCCCGGGGCACCCCCCGCCTTCCCGCCCGGGGTTTAAACTCACCTTGCTTGATGGGGCGGCCCGGTGACATTGCTGCGTCCCTGCCGCCTCTTTCCGTGGGGTCCTAAGACCCGCTGGTTTTGGCCGCGCATGCACGGCAAACCCGGCACAGCTTCCGTTCTCCCGAGTGCCGCTCCTTCGCTCATGCCCCCTTTGAAACATTAGTGTGTGCCTGGGCACACCCCGTGCGCACGCCAATGCTGCTTTTTCAAAAGGTAAGTGTCCACACTGAATGGACACTATCTCGCTTTTAAGCTGTGATTACTATGGATAGAGTGGTCACCAAGGCACCTGTGCTTTTTCCTCTTCTTTCGAAAGAACTCCCTCTTCCCTATCCACATAGGCCTTTTTTCCAAAGGAGCTCTTTCAAAAAAAGGTTTCTTCCTCATAGAAAGAGGTTTACCACTGTTGGAAAAAAACCCTCTGTTTTCTATTTTTTTCCTCCAAAAGAACATGATTTCAGTGTGGACATAACTCAAGTTTTTTCAGAAAAACAGCTTTAAAAAAAAAAAAAAAAAAAAAAAACAACTCTGTAGTGTAGACATAGCCTTAGTCACCTCCCACTGTGCTACTTCATGTAAAGGGTGCTTTTTTTAAATCCCTCAGCGAAAAAGCAGTCTGACATATTAAAATATTATTTATTTTTAAAATGGACCAGTTTACATAGTATGGTGATACAGTAGAAAAAGTATTTGGGTTGTAGTGGAGAAGGCTCAGTTCCCCTTAAAATGTTTACCTTTTTGTTTACAAAAACACTCCAATCCTTAGTATTTGAGTGATTAACGTGACTTGTATTTTCTTGTCAACATCATCTCAGTATACCAGAAAAGTGAACACATGTGTTTATTGTTCATACTTGGAGTTACTGCATCCCATACATTCTTAATATCTCCCAGTTCATTCTCACAGGAAAGATTCTTTACAATTTGATGGGTCAATACTAAACAACATGCAAAAATACACTGGGTTTGCTGAAATATATAAAAACAGATGTTTTGACTTTGCAGAAAATGACTGAGGTATGAAAAAAAGCATTAAACTGCTCCTGTTTATGTGCAAGATATTTAACTATGAAATGTCTTTCTAGAAAAGCCCAGTGGCAACACTGCTCTTTTCAACAGATTAGCTTTCAAGAAGTGCAGTTACCGCTTCACCTTCAATATGAAGGACCTCAGCTACCTAACTTTAATTTACTGCTTGGGAAAGCTATTTCTGAGAAGTGTTACTGACTTTAATAGGGAACAAGATACCATAAGAATCAGGACAAATGTTCAGAAGACAGATCAGATCAGCAGATATCCCAACATATTTAACTCACCTATAAATTAGGGCATTTTATAAGTCACATAGCGTCTTGTAAATATTTTTTTCTCCAAATATGACTGTTGGCATCTAGCGGCTTTTTAAGAGGCAGGTTGTTTTTCCAAGGGTACATAAAGCCAAATTTTGCCTGTGAAGTCAGTGGGGTTATATACATACAAGTGGGGGCAGAACTTTCAGCCTATGGTATGAGATATGTACATTTAGTCTAGTAGGTAGTGCCTAAGCATATTTACAGAGTTCACCCCTCCCACCTATCACAACTCTGTCATTTAATTTTCACATATGAAGTAGTTAGAACAAAAAGGCTGCAGTTTAAGCTAATTGCACTTCCTTTATAGCTTATTTCACATTTACCACTTAAAAATTTCCCATGTGATTTTTGGAAGACCAGCTTCCAAAAGTTTTTGGTGCTTTCCTAAAATAGGCAGTTCATCATACCTCTTCCCCCTCTCACTTTTCCATTATCCAACCAAAACAGATACTACTTAACCACAGAATTATAACCCTGCATTTTGTTTCCATGAGGATGTAGAGGGTTAAGACAAACCTTCATCTCAGTAGCGCACTCTCATATCTACTACATACTCTGCCATGCACAAAATGAATTGTGGCTCTGGTCACATAACATCCCCCACACAATTATTACAGCTTCCCAAAACTCCACCACACATTGTACTTCTTCACAAGAGTTTCATACCCCATGATTAAGGCTAGCGAATAGCAAAGAAAGTCATGTATTCTCAACACAGACATGCTATTTCTATAGTAGGTGACTAAGGGTTTTGTTTTCCATTTTGAAATTGACCCCTTTTTCTCCAGGGGTAAGATGTGCCTGAGAAGTGTAGAAATTCTCAGATGGTTGATGGCTTAAACTCAACAAGTCCAAAAGTGCTAGTGATTTTGGATTTGAGAGTCAGCAAAACTTTCTAGCAGGTTTGGGTGTTCTGTACAGAAAGCAGAGGCTGAAGACTAACACTGTTTAATGGTTGAAAGCA